CAGCCCCTCCGTGTCCAGCAGTGCCCAGCCCCAGGACGCCCCGACGGCTGCCTGTCAGCGTGACAGCCAGCATGTGAGCGGGGACACGCCCTGTCCTCAGCCAGAAGCTCCGCTCCCTTGCACGCACCTGCACCTGCACGCAGCCGCCATGGAGACGTCTCGCTCCCCTTCTCCGCAGTTTGCCCCCCAGAAGCTGACAGACAAGCCTCCCCTGCTCGTCCAGGATGAGAGCTCCAGCAGGTATCCTCCCGTGATGGGGTGTCCTCCCATCACGCCTTCTTCCATGGGTCTCCATGTGGGGGGTTAGGCTGGGCCTTAACTTCATTCAGCTGAAGACACTGGATTTAATGTTGGTGCTGGGGGATCACTACAGGGAGGAAAAGCCACAGCTCCTGTGACCAGGTGATTTTAACTCACTGGGGGTCTGCCCCTTCCCAGAGGGAAGAAAGGGGGATGTGAAGTACAGGGTGTACCATTCCCCTCTCCTTCACGAGCGGCCAGTGTGCATTTATGTCTGCATTTACCCACAGGCCTCTGCAGACTAGGGACACAGGTTTTCCTATACATGTAATATTTGTGATTGGAATCAGGGTTAACCTAAGCAGGAAACCTTTAGGTGAAATTGTTTTTCATAATGCCCAATATTTTTATACACCTTTTTTTCTGGATTTTTATTTTTTTTTTAATGTTAAAAGGCTAGGTGGGTATTCACCTTTTATTAAAGCACGAGAAAAACTGATCACATCCCATGGTGCTGTCGTGAGAATTTTAGGCATGGACTTGTCCTGTCCTTTGAGACGTTCATGGATGTCATCAGGCTGACCGTTCAAGAGCACTGAATGTTTAGCTTTTTTCATAAAATTTTTATCATGTGAAATATTTATTATATGAGTGCCTTTGAAGAACCGAGAAGTGGAAGAAGTAGGGAATTTTCATCTCACTCTTTACAGCAGTGGTTCTCACCCTGGGGGATGAAGAGTGATTTGGGCCTCCAGTGGATGTCTGGTGATGTCTGGAGGCAGTTGTTGGGGGATGGAGAAGGGATGCTACTGGCGTCTAGTGGGTGGACAGCAGGGATGCTGCTCAGCATCCTACAATGCACAGGACAGCCCTCATGACAAAGACTTATTGGACCCCAAATGCCCATAGCACCTAGGTTGGGAATCCTGCTTTCAAGACAAAGTGTCTGGCACAGTAGCCACTAATCACATGTGCAGTGTAAATGCAGGCTGATGAAAATCAGATAAAAGAAATTGAGTTCCTCACCTGCGCCAGGTGTGGCTAGTGGCTGCCATACTGGATAGCACAGATTACGGGTATTTCCATCACCACAGGAAGTTCTATTGGACCTCACTGCTCTGGAGTCTCGAGACTTTTTTTTTTTTTTAACAGTGAAAGGACATTATTGATACTGTCCTGTATTCCAAGTGTGGCATCACAACTACAGCTTTATCTGTGGTCCTAAACTGTGCTTTATCACTTAAAATGTAGATATCACTTAAATATTTTTTCAATTGGTAACATTGTTAGTTCTGGAAGAAAGGTCTTAGTCCATTCAGTCTGTGATAATAAAATACCATAAACTGGGTGGCTTATAAACAGAAATGCATTTCTCATAGTTCTGGAGGCTGAAAGTTCAAGATCAAGGTGTGGCAAATTTGGTGTCTGGTGAGAGCCATTTTTTGGTTCATAGACGGTGCCTTCTCGCTGTGCCTTCTCCACAGCGAGACAGGGGTGATGGAGCTCTCTTGGGTCTCTTTTATAAGGGCACTAATCCCATTCATGGGGGCTCCACTCATGACCTCATCACCTCCTAAAGGCCCCTTGTCCTATTACCATCCCATTGGGGTTGAGGATTTTAATATGAATTTTGGGAGACACAAACATTCACACCATAGCAGAAGGAAAAGCAACAGAGAGGTCTGTGTGGTGCGTAAAGGTGTGATATCTTTGCAGTCGAGTCGGCCTAGGTCCCCTCTGTGTGCCATCAGGGAACTAGTGTGACCGCAGTGCTCTCCGTTGAGGAACTTGCTTGGTGTGGGCTCCAGGAGGTGGGTGGTATTCTAGTGAGTGTTGGTTTTCTCACTCTATCTCCTCTGTGGGTTGAGAGGGACTTTAACAAGCAGTGACAGCACTTGCTGAGGAAGCTGAGGAGGAATCTTTGGGCATTAGCATTATTAGTATTCCCATCTGACGTCCTTAGGGGCTACAAAGGTGGTTTTACCCTACTTGTCAGGCTCTGATGCTGTCCTTGAACCTGTGTCCGCTGCCGTATAGGCACGTGCAGTGTTCTGGGTGGGCGCTTGGAGCAGTCCCTGTGTTCTCTCTATTCTTTTCCGGGAATGCAGTCAGCAGATGGCAGCAGTGCCACCCACGAAACTTGATACCAGGGAACTCGCTCATAATGCACTGAATTAAATGTCACCGCCCCCAAGATGTGTGCTGTTGGTCAGTCCTGGTATGAAAACATGGAATCCCAATTACCTGTCACCAGGAGTCCTCCACTCTATCTGCAGGCAAGGGACTGGCTGCGGCGTGACCTCCTCAGCAGCCTCAGCTCAGGGGCACTCTCCTGGTCCTGACCTACAGTGACTGCCTTGATTTCCTGAGCACTAGCCACCAGCCTGTCTCTGTGTCCCTCCTTTCTGTTTCTCTCCATCTGTTGCATGTACGGCCCGTGCCAGGCACCACAAATCCCACAGATATTTCTTGAGCAGCTCAGCAGTAAGAATGCAGAGAAGGAGAGAACAAAACGTCCCTGCCCTCTGAGTAGTCACTCATTCCAGATAAAAATGTATCCGTGCCTGTCCTAAAACCAGCAAGCTTACTTTTAAACCTTTTAAAATTCTCTGAGGTTTTTGATTGTGTTTAGTTTGGACTTTTAAACAACAGAATGGCGATGGGAACAGCAGCATCTTCCGTCCCGGCAGTGAGGGTAGAGACTTGATTGCTCGCAGAAGTGGGCTCGGGAGAGTCTTCACGAAAGCCTGCGCCTGCGAGCAAGCAGCACGTGTGGCAGAGCCCCAGGCTGCTTCCGTTCCCTTGGCGGCGTTCTTGCCCTCAACTTAGCCTCATCAGTGTTAGTGGGGCCATGGGACAGGTTGAGGTGGGGGCTAGCCCGTAGGGAGAGGCTGGATCTTGGCCTCCCCTCTCTCCCCGCTCCTCCCAGTGCCACCTTTCCATTAGGAATTGATGGGGCCTGGTTGCGGTAAGGCCGAATCCACTGCGTCTTGTCCTTGTTTTGAAGTAAACGTTGATCAGACTTCTATTATGTGGAAGTCTTGACCACTCTCAAGGAGAGTGACCAGGAATAGATGCTTTGTTGGAAAGTATATGTTAACCTGTGGAAGATTTGATTTTGCTGTTTAATTTTTTCTATCATGCTTTCCTTCACTGGGAAACAAATTTCTGCACAAACAGGGGAAGATAGAAATACCATTCAGCTTAAAGTCAGTAACAAGTGCTCAGGGTTTCTGAGTCTGGAGTGACACGGGTGTGAAGGGTTTTTGTCCGTCCTAGCTTGGATAAGACGGCAGGATTTCCCTTCTTAAGTTTGATGTATCTAAACGGTGTTTTCCACAGGGTTAGACTTTTTAAAATTTACTCACAAGGAGGGTAACTGTTTGTGAGGACTGTTTGTTTACGGGGACTGTTTAGGAGCACCTAGATAGAAAACATCAGCTCTTTCTACTGGAGAGAGGGAAGAAAATACAAAATTATTTCATTTTAGCCTGCACAGCACACCCTTATGTGTAAAGAAAGAACCGTGCTGTGTTCTTAATCGGCAGTGAAAGGGTGAAAAACAGCACTTAATTCAGAGCACCACCACTTCCCTCATGCTGCAGAAAATTGGGTCCATTAGCTCACATTGTAGAAGTGATTTGCAGGTCAGAGTCAGAAACATGTCCTGAGTGTGCATTGCTTGTTTGGCTTGTTTTTTCTTTCCCTCCTGGACACCAGCAGATGGCTCTCTTTTCTCCAATATGTCCTTTCAAAATACTTTGAAAAGATGTCACAGTCCCCTGTGTGTGGTCCAGCATGGTGCAGCTGAGAGCAGCCGGCATTGGGGTTGTCACAGATGAGGCACAGCAGCATGGGCCGGGAGGGTTCTTCCTGACCTCTCCCTGCCCCAGGTGCTTTAGTTACCTCCCCATGTCCTTTCACTAAGAAACTCTTTTTAAAGCAGGAAATGCGTGCCTTTTGTGAGCCACTGAGAATGACACAGCACTGGGAGCTCCCTATTGGCTGCAGGATCCTTGTCCCTGTGGTGTGAACCATGCACAGGGAGGGGTCTGGGAGTGTGGGAGGTGGAAGGCAGGTGATGGTAGGATACAGCACCCGCCAGCACAGGAGGAAGCTTCCGAGGGGGCCTCCAGACACAGCCCCTCCTGACAGGCATTCTCGCGGCCCTGGACACCACGCACCAGCCCGCAGGTGTGTGCCAACCTGCTTTGAGGAACACTGACTTAAGGCACTAACAATAATTCTGCAAAAACGTCTATCCAGTATGGATTTCCCTACAAGAGAAAATGTAACTGAGTGGGACTTAAAGTTTGCATTGTCACTGGAATAAAAACAAATGGAAATTAAACCACCCTCCTATCACCAGTAAACCACAGGAAGATGCCCTCAGACGCCTGTAGGTGTGAGGTGGACAGTTTGAGAATGGAACGGAGTCAGACTACTGAGAGTGGGGAGACCAAGGTAGGGGTGGGAGGGAGCTTGACCTCCTCTGCCTCCCTGGGACATGTTGGGTCTTTGAGTCAGGTGCACCATCTGTAAGGGGGGGACTCACCAATCGGAGTCCTGGATTGGAGTCGGTGCCCAGAGCGTGCTTTGCGATGTCAGCAGAGGCTCTTCTGTTTCAGAATCGAGCGGGTGATGGGCAACAACAGCATGGTGAAGATGGTGCCCATCAAGATCGTGCACTCGGAGAGCCGGCCTGAGAAGGAGAGCCGCCAGAGTCTGGTGTGCCCAGCCGAGCCGCCCGCCCTGCCCAGCGGCCTGGAGAGACACCAGATCAAGACACTGAGCACGCCGGAGCAGTCCTACTCCCGCTTCTGCGTGTACACGCGGCAGGGCCCTGAGCCCAAGCCCCCCAGCACCCCTGCGCCCCTTCCCGGTCTAGGCTACGTGAGGGCCAAAGAGAAGACCGTGGAAGAGCTGAAGTCAGAGGCACTGGCCAGGGAGATCGTGGGGAAGGATAAGTCCTTGGCCGATATCCTGGATCCCAGTGCAAAGATTAAAACCACCATGGACTTGATGGAAGGGATCTTCCCCAAGGACGAGCACCTCCTGGAAGAAGCCCAGCAGCGGAGGAAGTTGCTCCCCAAGGTCCCCTCCCCGAGGACCACAGAGGAGAAGTGAGTAGATGCTCCTTTCCAGTTTGTGCATGATTCTGCCGGCATCTTAAGGCTTAAAAGGGAGAGGGGTGCGTATCTGTTTCTCTGTTCTCGTGACTGCTCTTTGCGGGGGGGGCAGGTTTTTATGAGTGTTCCCCGATGCTTAGAACTTTTTAGCTTTTTTTGTGAGCCTACTGAAAGTAAAGCTAAGGGTCAGAGGCCTTGTCCCTGGGGATGAAGACTTCGGTGGGTGGCAAAGGCGTGGAACACACGTGCTTTGCAGCCCGCTGAGCTTTGCTGGCTGGAGGCCCGTGTGATTTATCATGATGCCCACAGCTCTCCTTTCTCGTAAGGCAACAGTTCTCAGCGGGGACCGTTGTCTGCCCCAGGGGACAGTTGACAATGTCATACTCTGTGTGTGGAGGGGAGCTCCTGGCATCCAGTGGGTGGAGCCCAGGAATGCTGCTCAGCATCCTACAGTGCACAGGACAGTCCCCACCACAGATAACTGTGGGGGGAGTGCTGACGTGAGAAACCCCAGCATAAGAGGACGGAAGGCTTAGACTGGGTTTATAAAATTTATTTGCACCCGCTTGAACAAATTCGTCTTGTTAGTTTTGTAAGTACCACTGTCAGGTCTCTCTCCTTCACTCATTTGACGCAAAGGCGTGTGTGGTGGCATCTTCCCTGCTGTTTCTGCCCGCTCCGTCACCACAAGCATCAGTCATGTGCTATAGGGTGCAGTGCCCATGAAATGCGGCAGAGAAGGAGAAACAGGACACACTAGAACCAGCAAGAGGGAGCGACTGTGGCTGCTGGTAGGAGGGTGCTTAGGAGTGGCTTTTGCAGATTGTGCCATACACGGCCTCAGCCACACAGACCCCAGACTCTAGGAGGGGACAGTCTGTGCTTTCATCTCCCCAGCAGAGATTTTTGGATGTTCCTGCTCATCCAAGTTTTTTGGCCTTTTGAAAAACTACATTTCAGGGCCAGCCTGTGGCTCACTCGGGAGAGTGTGGTGCTGATAACACCAAGGCCATGGGTTCGGATCCCATATAGGAATGGCCGGTTTGCTCAATGGCTGAGCGTGGTCTTGATGACACCAAGCCAAGGGTTAAGGTCCCCTTACCGGTCATCTTTAAAAAAAAGAAAAAAAACAAAAAACAAAAAAACAACTACATTTCACAGACTTTATGAGTATCCATTTGGCAAAGTTTTATTTTTTAGTTTTAACTTCGTCACCTGTTTTGTTTGTTTTTGGCTGTCTTATCTCCCTTGCTGGTGTCCTAATGGTAGTGCCAGCACTTATTTGTCACAACCCAGGAAGCAGGGCTGAGGGGGCATCTGTGTACATGGTTGCAGCTAATTGAAATTCTGACATCTTTACCCAGGAAAGAGGAGCCAAGTATGCCAGCAGCCATGTCCCTGGCCACCAACTCCACTTATTACAGCACATCAGCCCCTAAAGCTGAGCTGCTGATCAAGATGAAGGACCTACAAGAGCAGCAGGAGCCTGAAGAGTACTCAGGGAGCGACTTGGACCATGACCTGTCAGTGAAGAAGGTAGGAAAGCCAACCAAAAACCATCACGTGTTTAACTCCCAAGAACTTGCGCAGGCACTTGAGAATCTAGCAGTAGACGAAACAGAATAGAGCCCTTCTCTGAGGGAGCTTATGTTCACACAGGAGAGAGAGACAGACAACACAAAAACAAATATATATACAATACAGGATCAGCAAATCTGGCCCACTGCTTGCTTTTGTAAATAAAGTTTCATTGAAACACAGCCACATTGTTCATTTACATATGGTTTGTGGTGGCTTTCACACTACAGCGGCAGAGTTGGATAGTTGCAACAGTGCCCATATAGCCTGCAAAGTCTAAAATATGTACTATCTGGCTCTTGACAGAAAAAGTTTGCCTAACCCTTAATGTAATATGTCGAGTGGTAAGAAAATTAAAACAAGGCGAAGGCACAGAGAGGTTAAAACAAAGGCATGTGATTATTGAGAGGGCTCTGTTGAGGTGATAATTGAGCAGAGACCCAGAGTGACATGAGGAACAAGCACTGTTTTTGTCTGGCATGCTGGGAAGGGGGCTAGCCAGTGCAGAGGTCCTGGGTGGGAGCCTGGTGGCATGTTGGAAAAGTAGCAGAGGCCAGTAGCTGGAGCTGTGTGGATAGGGAGAGAGGGTTGCAGATGAGGTTGGAACAGGATTCAGGGACTGGCTGTTTAGCTCACTTGGGCGAGTATGGCACTGATAATACCAAGGTCAAGGGTTTGGATCTCCAATCTGGGCTGCCCCCGAAAAAAAAAAAAAAA